ACGGTGGATGCAGGTCTGAAGGCCACACCTGGGCATGGGAATGCAAAGCCCAGGGCTTGTGGCCAGGAGGCCTTATGAACTGGCTTCTCAGATCCTTCCACCTGCTCTTCGTGCTGCCTTCCAGTTGTCCTCCTCAATGCTTGGGTCACATGCCTCACCCCGCTGGATTGCCTCCACCCAGGGAAGAGCCCGTTGCCAGGCTCTAGGCGGTTCTGGTCCCCAGCCCAGGAGAGCTGAGTGAGAGCCTTGCCCTCACAGGCCCTTGTGGGCAGGAACAGAGCAGGGCCTGGGGGATCAGTGCACACAGCAGGGCTTGGGTTTGAATCTTGGCTCTGCCGCTTGACCACTATCTGAGCTCCTCATTGTGCTAACTTCTCTGGGTCGATATCCTGCTCCTCGGATGACAAAAAACAACTACCACTTAGGGCTGCCCATAAGAGGCTAACATGAGCCCATGTGGGTGAACCAGTTCCCGTAGCACCTGGCATTCTCTGGTGTGACTTCAATGTATGTGCGGCTGCTGCTGACTGCTGAGACATTTGACCTGGGTCTCTTCCCATCCCCAGTGACATGGGGTCAATTACAACTTATATCTACAATTTGTAATGTCTACTGGTATTTGACGTTGCTCTCCTATTCGTTCCACCAGCTCTTCCAGCAGACCAAAGAAACTGAGTCCCGGGGGTTTTGCCAGTCCCAGGTGGGAGTGGTGGAGTCAGAACCCTCCAGGGAATGTGTCTTCTCCCAGGAGCTCCTCTCTCCATGCTCCACTTCTGGATCCCTGACCCCTGCTGCTCCCCAGCGTGGCGGCCTTGTGGGTTGAGGACTCGAGGGGCTTTATCAAGGCATGAAGGGGTCAGTAACAGCAAGCCTGGCTGCTTTGGGTCATCACAGTGCAAGGTAACCCCAGACTGTAGCCAGCACCGATGACCCTTTTAGAGCCTTGTGCCTTCTTGCCCCCGCCCCACGGCCCCCTGCGTCTCCATCTTGCCCCCCAGAGCATGTGATTCTCCATCCAGCCCGCAGGCAGGGAGGGCTGGGATGACCAATTCCCCTTGAGTGAGAGGAAGCTGAGGCTCAGTGGGGTTGAGCGGGACAGAACTGCCTGGTCATTCTGCTTCCTCAGATCTCTGAAGAGGGTGTCCCAGTCACAGGAAATGGCCAGGCAGACGTGGAGGTGAGCAGGCACAGACTTCAGGGAGTAGAAAGGGGATGTGAGGCTAGGACTAAATGATGACAAGTGGTGGCTGCTGCCCCCGCTGCCACTGTTAGGTCCCTGGCACTGAGCCATCCCACAGAGGGCGCAGCCAGGCAGCTCCACATCTGGGGAGAGTGCTCAGGACCACCTGGTGCCCTGCCTCTGGCTCCTGCCCTCCCTCGTTCTTTCCACTCCAGCCTCTCAGCGGCGTCGGTCCCCTCAACTAAAAACGCCCTTCTCGGGGACCTGCGTGCTCACTGCCACACCATCTCCAGCTCTCTGCTCGCGTGTTGCCGTCTCAGTGCGGCCTTCCCTGACCACACCAGCCACTTCCAACCTGCTCCCTGCTCCATTTTTCTCCTTAGCACCCATCACCTGCAAACATAATCTACATATCGCTTATTTGTCTGGTTTGCAGTCTGTCTCCACTAAAATGTAAGCATTACAAAACCAAGGAGATGTGATCTTTTGTTCACTGATGTATCCTCAGCACACACAACTGACAAACATAGGGTTTCCTAAGTATTTAATGAATTGTCAGGAGGGCTCCCAGAGTTGGCTTCCAGTTTTACTGATGGGTGGGGGCTAGAGGACTGGGACCATACCCTGAGCTCACACACCCAAGATCACACAGCCAGGGAGTGCTAGAGCCATGTAGTGAACATGAGTCTCACTACTTGTTTTGCTTACAGAAATTGGGACCAAACGGAAAGCTCATTATTTTTGTTACGAAGCTATATCTTTGCCTGTTCCATCCTGGCCAGGATGACCTATTCAGGGGTTGCGTCTCCCACTGGTCAGTGGACTCCTCACCTCAGAAGGAGCCACATTTTATTCATTACTACCTCCCCAGGACCCAGTTCAGGCATGGCTGTACCAGTTACATGTGAATGACTGAATTAGTGAAGATTCTCTGTGGCTGCCAGTTGGAGGCAGATGCACAGGGTTTTAGTCTTGCCCCTGCCATTTATTAGCTGTATGACACTGGAAAGTTAGTGAAATGAAGATCTTTGTACTTAATCCTTCACATTACCATGTCTTCATGACTGTAAAGATTTTCAACTAGGAGCTGGTACATAGTGCAGAATAAATGTTAGCTTTAAAAATACTAGATTATGCCCTGGCTGGTGTGCTCAGTGGATTGAGTGCCGACCTGTGAACCAAAGGGTTGCTGGTTCGATTCCCAGTCAGGGCACATGCCTGGGTTAGAGGCCAGGTCCCCAGTTGGGGTGCGTGAAGGGCAACCACATATTGATGCTTCCCTCTCTCCTCCTTCCTCTAAAAATAAATAAATATTTTTTTAAGTTAGATTATTGATTTAGGGAAGAAGGGAGAGAGGGGGAGAAACATCGATTTGTTGTTTCACTTATTTATGCATTAATTGGTTGCTTCTTGTATTTGCCCTGATTGGAGATTGACCCCGTAACCTTGGCGTATTGGATGATGCTCTAACCAACTGAGCTACCCAAAAAGGGTGAAGATGTTACACTTTTTAAAAGGGGAGAACTGGCCCTGGCCAGGGTGGCTCAGTTGGTTGGAGCGTCGTCCCTTAACTGAAAGATTTCAGGTTTGATTCCCAATCAGGGCACATGCCTAAGTTATGAGTTCAATCCCTGGTCCAGGCGTACCTGACGCAACCAATTGATGTTTCTCTCGCATCGATATTTCTCTTTTCCTTCCTCTCACTCTAAAAGCAGTGAAAAAATGTCCTTGGGTGAGGATTAAAAAAAATTAAAAGGGGGAGAGCTCTGCATTTGAGTGAGCATTACATCAGTGGAAGTGTGCAAATAGAGGTTGAAAACCCCTGGGCAGTTAATTTCATCCTCAGATAATATTGCTACCCATATTTTACAAATTAGAAAACTAAGGCACAGAGCGGTTAAGACCCTTGCCCAAAGTCTAGGCAATAGCCAGGTTAGGGCACCGAAGCGGGAATGAATCAGCGGGAAAGAGATCAGAAGGAGACAGAGTCACTAATGCTGGCCCTCTGGAAGGCCCGCGGAGAATCGGTCTGCTGAGGCTATAAACGTGCTGTGGGTCCCGCGCTCAGAGGCGTCTGGGCACCGCCCGCCTCCGCCCCTCCCCTTAAAATCAGAGCGCCCAATCTCACAGCCTACATGTAAATGAAATACCTAGAAAGAGCCTATGAGAGAGTAGCAGGGGCGTGGCCTTCGTCCACCTCCCGGGTGGTATTCTGATTCATTGTTAAAATAAAGAGGCTGTGACCTCGGCACCCAACCTCGGCACCCCCTGTGTGTGGAAACCCGAGCCGAGGTTAGTACTGCGCAGTGGAAAGGGTGAAGGGGAGGAGAAGGGAGAAAAGGTAGAGGAGTGAAGGATACGGGGCGGGACAGGCCGACTGACTGGATGGAGAGAGGTCCAGTGGTCCATTCTCCGGGTGGGGCATCCGTGTCCTCTGCAGATTTTTCGTTGTTATATCCACACCTGAAGTGCATTTCGGAGGATTCTACCACTTGAGTTGGGGAGGAGGAAGCGGGAGCTGTGAGAGGGACCCGGAGTAGAGCCCTCCACATCCGCCCCCAGGGAAATGAGCGGAGGTCTCCATCCGAGGAGACAGTTACTCCCCTTTGTGGCCGGACTGGGAAAGAACTGCTCAGGCTGGGCGGGATGGATTCACTCCCTTTCTACCACTGGGAGCTTGGAACGATGCCTGACGCCCGGTGAAGAGCACAGACAGGATCAGAGACCCCGGGGGCCAGTGGGTGCCCCCCCTCCAAGACCATGCCCTGCCAGCTCCCTAGGTCCCATGGAGAAGCCAGGAACCTTCATCCTGGCTGACCCTGGGGAGGATGTGAAATTCCCCAGCTCTCAGGTAAGATTGGCAAGGAAGGCCTGATCCCCTGGGACGCTGTGGAGGAAATTCTCAAGGTGAGGAAAGACATCGAAGGGACCTGGGGGCACCATAAGGGGCTTGTGTGTTTGGGAATATGGATTCCTCTCACCCTGATCCCCTCCCGGGGCTCTATGTGGGTTAGGAGGGTGTCTTCAAGTTCTCTTCGGTTGGAGCCCACACCCCCACCCCAGGGCATGATGTTGGAGCTCTCAGTGGCAGGGAAAGGACAGCCATGCACTTAAGTCAGAACACCAGGTTTTCTCTTCAGCCAAGCTCTGCCACAAACTTGCTGTGTGCCTTTAGATTGTTCACGACTCTGTCCTCAACTCTGAAAATACCTGGCCAGCCTTTTGCCTCTCCCCCCCAGTATTTCCCCAGGAACCTGCGTAAGTTGGCAGTGGGATCCAGTGTCCCTCACTTCCACCTCCTGGCACACAGACCTGGGTTGAATCCAGTTCAGGCACTGGGACCTTGCAAGTTATGGAACCTATGTGAGCCTTCCTTGCCTCATCTGAAACTGACATTAATTTTATCCAGAATGCAGGATAGTTGGAAGGCAAAGGCACTCCAACTAGGGGCTGCACAAGTCCCCTAGGAGGCTTGTTTAAAATGCACACCCCCAGGTCTCACCTATATGGATCTGGGGAGGGAACTGGGAATATACATTTTATAAGCAGCTCAACTGTGTCTAATGCAGGGTCCTCAGAACACACTTGGAAAATTGCTGCGGTCATGGCTAGGAATCACAGTTAAATGCTTGGCAGAATTCCTGGTGCTTAATGAGTGTTTGTTGAGTGAATAAATGAGCAGATGAATAAATGGATGAATAACCTTATTTCCTTGGTCTTTATCTGTCCAGGGGCAACTTGGGGCTGGGGTCCGGGTGTGCTGCCCGCCAGACACCTGGTCCTTGCCTCCCCCCTCCATTCTCCCCAGGCCCCACCATTGGATTGCAGAAGCTGCCCTGGCCTGGCTCACCTAATATGGAGGGGGAAGCCGGGGATGCCCCCTGTGGACACTTTGAGGCCAATGTGCTTGCCCAGAACAGCTGTCAAAATTGCTTCCATCCTGAGGAGGCCCACAGAGCAAGACACCAGGTGGGCTAGCTTTCCTGAGGGGTCAGGGTGGCTTGTGATACAGAGTCTGTGATGGGACAGAGCCTTGCAGTTGAACCCAGACACTGGTCTTCCTCCTGGGCAGAGCCTAAGTTTTCCATTCTGTACAACGAAGTAATGGGACCTTGTGGGTGTTTCCCAGATGCCAGTCATTCTCCTCCTGGTTCTATGTGGTTGTTTGTTTGTTTGTTTTTGCCATAACCTCCTGTGATCTCTTACTTACCTTATTCTTTAAATTATTTATTCTTTTTTTTCACATATACTAAAACAGGACTTTACATCACCACCACAAATAGAAAACTAGGATCGTATCCTTTATATAGAAGGTTAAAAAGAAATAAAAAGACAAAAAATAGAAGTGTCGTTCAATTCTAACTAGATAGTATTGTTGGCTGAAGGCTCTGACCCTGTGTCCTGCTGTCTCTCTGTTAAAAAGGGAGATTGGCAGGTGTTAGAGGGGCATTAAAGATACCCTAGCAACCCCCTGGAAACTTTCTCTTTGAAGGTGTTGAGGGAGTGAAGCATTTTCTCACTTCAGGATCGATGAGATCTTAGGCCAAGTCCTGTACACATAAACCCAGAGCTCCTGATACACACGCCTTATGAGAAGCATGGGACCTGTGACTCTCCCTGGGCCCTTCCTGCCTTGATCGTCATGGCTCTGTCACTCCCAGAGGGCCCTGAGGCTCCTAAGACTGGCAGTCAGCACCATGCAGGGGGTTAGGCTCCAAGAGGTGACCACTGTAAGGGAGTCACTGTTCAGCTTTGGAGCCACGCAGGCCAGAGCTCCAGGGCACCGTTTGCTTTTCCCTGCTGTGTGACCTTGGGTCATTTACCCTGTCTGTCTGCACTCTCCTAAGAGCAAAGTTGGGCAGCAGGGCTTCTCATTCAGGGCATCTAGCATTGCTTAGCTTAAGTCACATGTGGCTAATTCAATACTCGTTAGTTTCCTCTCCCTCCTTCCTGATCAGGAAAACAAACCTGAGAGATTCCTTTCTATCTGTCTTGATACCTATGGTAACAGCTACCCTACCCCCAAGTTCGGGGAACAGATGCCTGAGAGCTCAGTGAGTCCATCTCCCATGCAAATGACCTTCTCTGAATGGGTGGGGCAGTGGCAAGTGAGGAGCAGAAAAAGAAGTTTGGATTCAGACAGGTTTGAATTCTAGTCTCAGTCCTACCGCTCCCCAGCTGAGACCTTGGGCCAGCTCACATGTGCACACATACTGAATAGATGCTTTTAACATGTGCCAGGCATCATGCTAAAAGTTGGGCAAACAGTGATAAGTGACACAGGCCCAGTCCCTGGTTCATGGGGTTTATAGTCTGGCAAGAGAAATGCAAACTAAGAGATTAATCATACAAATAATTATGGTTGTGGTAAAAGGTGTAAGTAGTAGCAAGTGGCATAAAGGTAAATAATAGGTTTCTCCAAGAAAATGACACTTCAGCTGCCTGGTAAAGACTAAGGGGACATTGGCCAGTGAAGTTGGGAGAAGGAGAGAGGAAGGGAACTATAGGTACAAAGGTCCTGAGGCAGAAAGGAGGAGGCTCATTGGCAGGTGAAGAAGGGCCACTGAGAGGGAGGGGACGGGAACTCCAGGGCAAGGATGGAGAGCGGGGCGGGGGCTGGTCTCACCAGGCCTTGCGGGGCCTTACAGGCGTGCTGGCTTTAGACTTCTTTCTGAGGCATGGGAGCCACTGAAGATTTTAAGGAGGAGTGATGCGATCAGATTTGAATTTTCCAAAGTCACTTTGACTGCAAGGCAGAGAATGGAGTACAGGGAGTGAGAGTAAATCAAGGTGCTCAGTGAGGAAAAGGTGCAATTATTCACGCCGGAAATAATAGAGACTCTGAGACGTAGAGAAATGGACACCTTTCAGAGCTAATGGAGCAGGAGAATCTAAAGGGTTTAGATTGTGTACCCGAGGTACAGGGAGGGGGTGGAACATGGCTGACTTCTGAGTTATTTCCTGAGGCAGGTACTTGGGATGGGAAGTCCATGTGGAGGTGCATGCAGCGGTGGGTGAGAGGTGCCCGTGGGCCACGCTGGAGGTGAGGGGAGTTAGGGAGTCACTGAGCTGAGGAGCCAGCCCTCAGTGGGAGATAAAGGCTCTTGAGTCATCAGGATCTGATGCTGATGAAGTCTTGCTCGTGGATGAGCAGTTTCAAACATGGAGAGTCACAAAATCTGTGCTAAAGAAGCATGCCCCAGCCTGGATGGGACCTTGCAGTTCTCGACTGGATCCCTCATTGCACCTGGGCTCAAACTCTCCCCAGGGGCCTGGCAAAGGGATCTCCTGGCAAACCGGTTCTGACGTCCTCACCTACTTTGGAATACGCAGGAATGGTCCAGGTTCCTCCTGGAAGCTTGCTCGGCTCCCCTGGGACCCTGGCTCCGGATATGTCTGTTCTATCCTCAGCTGAGTCTACCACAGGCTGGGGGAGGGAAGAGCCCTGGCAACCGCATGGCCTTGATGAGGTCATGGCCAGGTTCTGGATGAAGGGAGGGAGCCTAGGAGGTGAGAGGGTCGTGATGTACGCCTGGCACCACGCATTCCTTTTTATGTGTTTATTCTTCAAAAAAAAATTGTTTAAATCCTCACCGGAGGATATGTTTATTGATTTTTAAAGCGAGAGGAAGGAAGGGAGAGAGAGAGAGAGAGAGGAACATCGATGTGAGGGAGAGACATCAATGGGTTGCCTTCTGTACAAGCCCCGACCGAGGATCGAACCCACAACCTTTTGGTGTATGGGACGATGCTCCAAGCAACTGAGCCACCTGGCCAGGGCTAATGTATTTATTCTTCAGAATATTTAACACTCTCGATTTAATGCTAATACAATTCTATTTAATCTTTTTACTTTATCTATTATATTTAAGATGGCCAGACCAGGCAGTGTCCTAAGCCTTTTACAAATATTAACTCATTTAATTCTCATAACACCCGTAGGAGGCAGGTCCTTTATCATCCCAGTTTCGTAGATGAGAAAACCAGGCTCAGAGCGGGGAAGCTACGGGGCTGAGGTCACCCAGCTGGGAAGTGGAGGCGCCAGGATTGGGTCTGATGTCTGCCTGAAGCCAGAGCCCGTGCTGACCCGCCAGACAGGAAATCAGAGCCAGGGACTGGCTCCTGGTCCTGCTCCTGTGGGCGCTGGGTAGTGACGAGGGCTGGGGGTGACAGCAGAAAAGAGAGGCCCTGACTGGCTGGGGGGTTTCTCGGGCCCAGCTTGGTGTCTTGTTGGGTCCAGCTGGGCTGGGACCCCTTAGCAATGCCCAGCGAGCTGCTCTCTCCTCATTCATGCCGCAAGGTCCCCAGGGCAGCCAAGGCGCCAGGCCAGGCTGTGGATCTGACACCTCCCGCTGTGGAGCGCTGATCAGAATCTTGCTCCAGGGCAGGGGGCGAAACCGAACCCAGACAGGCTCCTCTGGCTTGGATGGCACAGCAGACACCCCGGCCCCACTCCTTGGCCTTGCCCAGGTTCCGCTAGTAGCCACCTTCTTGGAACCCAGAGAGTCTGCGCCCACCCTGGGACTATGGCCAGCCTGCGGCCTCAGCCCTGAGCTCTGGGCTCCAGGATCCCCAGGGAGCCCAGGCCCAGGCCCCCGCCCTGCCGGCTCTCAGGTGAGCTGTGGGGATCAAGTTCCTGTGGTTTCATGTCCTGCATTGTTCTTGGCTGGGCCCCGGCTTATGAAACAGTAATGAGGGGCCCCTGCTCCTGCAGCCGGCCCCTCTAAGGTTTCTGCTGCTCCGGCCGCCGCCGCCACGGCCCAGAATCGGGGCCTGGGAGGGCGGCAGCGTGGGGGCCTGAGCCGGAGCCCCCCGGGGACGAGGGTGCTGACAGCCGCCAGCCGCCAGCTCCGGAGCCCGCTGCCCAGGTAACCCGAGAGGAGGCGGGGTGCAGGGTGCCGTGGCCGTTGTCCCCCACCACCAGGGGAGGGCCCTGCCACCCTAGGAGGTGGGGAGGAATGGGGGGGCCTTCCCGGAGATGAGCAGCCGTTCCCCCTGGGTGAGCCCAGCGGCAGCCTTCACAGGTGTGGCTGTGCTGAGGGTGGAGGGAGAGAGAGGCGAGCAGTCAGCTCAGGGCCTCCGCCTCCACCCCAGGGGCCTTGACCCTCCAGCCCAGGAGCCCCTGCCCTCCCCCCTTTAGAGGGGCAAACCTCTTCTTTCCTCCAAGGCGTTCTTTTCTCATGGCCTCCTCCCTCAGATTACCTCTTCCTCCCTCCCTCTCCAGGCTGACTTAATTCTTCTTCCTCACCCTCCTTCCTTATCCGTGTCTTCCAGCTACAGAAAACCCTTCTGGGTCCTTCTGTGCACTTCATATCCTCAAGCACACACACCTACATATGTGCCAACACACACACAAATGAACTGGCATGCACTTATGCAAACATATGCTCTAGTGTGTCCCCCCCGACTTGCATGCACATGCACAAACAGTTGCACACACACAGGCCTTTATATGCACACATACCTGTACACACGTAGGCACACACATACCCTGTACCTCGGCCAGCCCTCAGCTTGGGTCCCCAGGGGCGCTTCCAGCCTGATGGACAGCTCTCCTTGAGAAGTCTATGATCCCAGGAGGAGATGCCTGGAGACTCTCCCACACCCCCTAGTGGGGGGAGGGGCCGCGCAGGGGGAGGGGAGCCCCCACGTGGGCATTGAGGTGCCTCCTCTCTCCAACTCTGTCCCAGGAGCCCGGGAGCCCTCCAAGTGCGGAGGCACCCTACTGCGACCTGCCCCGCCGCCCGCCTGCCTCTGAGGACCCGCACAGTGCTTCGACCTCTGGGTGCCAGTCTGTGGTGGGCCTGGGCCTTGGGCCAGGGTCTGAGAGGTGGGTAGAGCTCCAGGGCCTGGGGAGGGGCTCCCCGGGGTAGCCCTCCCCTACCCCACCCCACACCCCCTCACGATGGCAGAGTCTGATGGCTGCTGGCTTGGGTCACATGGCCAGTCCATACAGCTGGGCACAGAGGGCATGTGCCTTGGCCCTAGCTCAGCTTCGATCACAGAGCACCCATGTACCCATCTGCCGTGGGCATGGCTCACAGCCCACTCACATTTCCTTGGTCCCTTTGCACAGCTTTAAAAAATTAAAGAGGTTTAACACCCACCTACCTGACGGTGCAGGCTCTGGGCTTCCCTCCACCCCTGACCGAGCTGAACCGAAGTCCCCGTCTGTGGCTGAGACGCTTTGCGGGGGCATGGCTGAGGGTCTGGAAACCCGGGGTCCAGCTTCCGCTTCATCCCTATTGGGCTGTGGGAACTTGGACAAGTTATTCTCTCTTTTTGTACCTCGGTTTGCCCCTTTAAAAAATAAGAAGTATTGAATCCAATCAGCATTACTTTGGGAACATGTGTTCATCACTTGCCTTATTTTTTAAAAAACCAAAAGCTCTGCCATCACATACGTTTCAGGAAGCCGGGGATAAGCAAGGCCGGCACCCTTCTCTCAGGACCTGTCAAAGCCTTCGTTCGCAGGCCTGCATTGTGCTTTTGGGTGGGGGAGGCAGCCGTGCGTGGTGTGTCTCAAGACTCATCTGATGACAGACGTGTTTTTCAGGGGCCAGCACCCATTTTCCTCTTGCAGGCCCATCTGTGGGTTGCTCTTTGTGGGGACCACCAGCCCTAAGCCTACCTGGGCCCATGGCCACCCTGTCCGGCTCCCCTGAAGCAGGGCTTTCTCTGCAGCTCCCTCCCACGGCACCCCGACTGGCGACTGTGTCGCTGCCCCTGGAGCTCTGCCACCTCTCAGAGCCCCCGCTTCAGTTCAGCGTAATCATGGCTCAGGCTCACTGAGCTTGGGCCGCCACTTCTGCTCCAGGGACAGGGGGCCGGGGCCACGGCCACAGCCCTGGTCCACAGTGCAGCTCTGCCCTTTCCTAGCTCTGTGACCTCGGCTAGTCCCCTGCCCTCTCTGAGCTTCAGTTTCTTCATCTGTGAAATGGAAATCACTACACTCACTTCAAAGGAAGGCCGTTGGAGCTAAACCAGGCAGGCCACGGAGAAAGGCCCACATGGAGGGGCCTCGGTGTCCGCTCCCTCTTCCCCCGTAACATGCGGGGCTGTGTATACCTGGGTGGGGGTCTGACTCCTTAATTCCCGTGACTTTTGGGGAAAATGTCACGGGTCTGTCTCCTCCGTCAGGGGCCCATCAGCAGGGCTCCCTGCAGGGGGCCCCGTGGTCACCCCCAGGAGCGGGAGCCAGGATCCCGAGGCAGTGCCCTATCTGGAGGGCCTGGCCTCCTCCCCGCGTGGCAGCTTCGACGAAGATCGTGACTCTGGCACCAGCTCCAGCCCTGACTCCAGCACCCCTGATGATACCAGCAACTCGTCCTCTGTGGTGAGCCGGGGCCAGAAGGCCGAGGGCAGGAGCGGACCAACCCTACTTCCAGAAGAGGGCTGAGCCTCTCACACCAAAGAGCTGGGCCAAGGGCTCCAGAGACAGCGGGCACCTCAGGCTTCCCAGACCACCCCCCTGGGAGGGGGAGGGGCCTCTGTGGGGCGGCCCTTGAGGCCTGGGAGTCTGCCTACAAACAGATAGAGGAAGGAGTTTCAGTGGACGGGGAGCTCCACGTGAATCACCAGGTCCCCATCAATGCTCAGGTCACAGGTCACAGAGGGCCCGGATGTTGGGTGTGTTGCCCAGAGCAAGTATGGGATTGGTCCTGAGCCCTGCCTTGGTCAGACACCACCGAGTGCCCTGAGCAGCCGGAGCAGAGGGCAGAAGGAAGGGAGCAGGCGGGGCGGGGGACTGGCCAGGGCTGGGGGCCGTTTAGCTGCGAGAACAGGAGACTCGGGGGAACTTCCTGGGCATTCACCGCTCCAAGGGCTGTCACAGGGCAGAAGGGGCAGACTACCCTTGAGAGCTCCAGGGGGAAGTGACGGGGAAGTGACAAGACATGGGCTCAGAAGGGCTCACCAGCCTCCTCTACGGGCCTGTTTTAGGTTGCGAAAACTGAGATTCAGAGAAGGGAGACAACCTAGTGGAAGCCGTACAGCTGGGAAATGGAAGGGCAAGGCCTTGACCCTACTTCTCTCTGGATCCTGAGGGTGTCTCTGGGGCGCGGCACTGCTATGCCAAGGCCCTCCTACCACACTGTGTTCAACTGCCCTGGGTCCAAGCCCCCTCTCATGTAAACCATTTCCCAGCTGTGTGATTTGGGGCAAGTTCTTAGCTCTGCAGGCTGCCCACCTCATGGGGCTGATTGAAGCTGAGCTGAGTTTATACCTGCAAGGAGCTCAGCACAGTGCTGGGTATACAGCACGTGCTCTTTCAATGTCAGCTCCTTTCTCTTCTACCTGTTTCACTCTGGGAGCACCGGCCAGGGGGTCTCTCTTCTTAATCTCCAAGCACGCTTTCTCCTTTCCTTCCCTGGCAGGACTGGGACATCTTCAAAAGGCAGGAGGAGGCCCCCAGCTGGGACGAGTTCGCTGTGATGATCCCTCGGAAGTTGCAGGAGGGGTCAAGAGCTGACAGTGCCCAAAGGGCTCCGCCTGTCCTCACCCGGTCACCGGTGGGAGGAGACACTGCAAGCCAGAGAAAGGAGGGTGAGTCCTTCTGCCAGGCCAGGTTGGACTTTGTGACTATGGATGTGGCAAGGGCCCGGGGCCCCTGGCCCATGTAGCCAACTCCCAGGCCATCTGGATCCCTGGGCATGTCGTACTTTGATGGCTCATGTCTTAATAATAGTAACAGTCCCATATAATTATGGAGCAGCTATAATATCCCATGCAAGCTGCCTGAAATACCCTCTCTCATAGTTGGTGCATTAGGATCTTCCGGTTGCAAGTGACAAACCAGCTAAGTAAAAAGTCTAGGGGGTGATGACTTCAGGCATAGCTGGATCCAGGTGCAAACACTATCAGAGAACTGGCCTCTGCTCTGCTTTCTTCTGTGGTGGCTTCATTCTCAGACAGACCCTCCCCCATAGTGGCATGGCGAGCAGCAGCAGTACCAGACTTTATCCTACTTGCTTATCGACCTCCACAGACAGAAGATACAAACTCCAGGTTGGGGTCCTGGGCCCAACCTGGTGACCAGGGATAGGGTCAGCCCCCCGTGCAAACCTCATGGCTTGGGAGTGGGGAAGGGGAGAGGGCCCAAAGGAAACCAGGGTGGTGATGCTCCCAGAGAACAGGGAAAAGCTGCTGGCCAGGCCAAGCCCGCAGAGGCACGTGATGCTGGTCAGCGTCTCCATGGTCCATGAACCCAGTGTGCTGGGTCCCAAAGCTTGGGCCCTCCCACCAGGATGGCACTGTGTTGCCATGATGATATGCCTGATGTGTGCCTTCAGCATCGTCAGGATTTGGGGGTGCGGGCCAGGGTATCCAGGTCTTAACCCCAGCAGGCAGTCCTAGCTTCCTATGGCTCCCATAGCATTCAATCATCAAACATACCAGTGCTAACTGTGCATAAAACCTGGTACCAGATGCTTGGGCATTCAGAAAGAATTAGGCAGGGTCGCTCTCCCAGACAGTCATCATCTAGTAAAGCAGGCAGATAGGAGATGACGAACAGTGGCCCAGATCAGAGGAAGAGCGGAAACATGTGCCCTGCTGGGAGCAAAGGGCCGGGTGAGGTGTGGGTGCAGAGGACAAAGAGTTTCTTTCCATCTGTGGAGGGACACACAGAGGAGCACCTCCCGGACATATGCTGCACCTGAGGAAACAGCCTGGGCAAAGGCTTGGAGGTGTGAATAGGGAGTAATCTGGGATGTACAGCCGGAGCGTAGATGGGGGCGTACAGTTGGGTTAGACCACACCGGGCCAAGGAGTGTGGACTGACTTCTCTAAGTAGTAGGGAGCCACGGGAGGTTTTTGAGGAAGAGAGTCATATGATCGACCTCTGCATAAAGAAGTTCACCAGGGCAAAGATGTGAAGGATGAATGGGAGCAGGGTTAGGCTGAGAGATGAGACACCAGTAAAGGGACTCTTGCAGCGCTGCAGTGATAACTGATTCAGGCACAAATCACTGGCTGGTGCTAAATTCCTGGGTGCAAGGTTGTCGGGGAACAGGATATTTCCATGATCTCAAAGTATCATCCCTCAGATTACATGTTGATTATGGAGGGAAAAGCCACCTTGGGATGGGAAGATCTGGCAGATCTTCCTTAACCAAGTGGCCACTCAGCATCCTAGCAGGGGAAAAGCCCCCACGTGATGCACAGAGGGGGACACGGCATCCTTTCCAAATCTTCTTGTTAAAAATGCACCACCTGCATCTAAAAAATCCCAGCAAAATAGCAGAGAAACCCAAATCAAAGGACGTTCAACAAAATAACTGACAGCACTCTTTCTTTTCAAAAAAATTGTTTGTTGATTTGAGAGAGAGACAGAGAGAAACATTGATTTGTTCCACTTGTTTACGCATTCATTGGCTCATTCTTGTGTGTGCCCTGACCAGGGATTGGACCCGCAACCTCGGGTATTGGCACAATGCGCTAACCGACTGAGCTACCCGGCTGGGGCCTAACAGGATTCTATGGCAGATGAGAAAGGCCTGAGGAGCTGTTCTTGAATAGAAAAGGCTGCAGAGACAGGGAAGCAAAATGCCATGTGGGATCCTGGATTGGTTCGAGGATAGGAAAAGTTATACCTATGGAAGACATTATTGGGACAGCCGGGGAAATTTGACTATGAAGAGTATGTTACATAACAGTTTTGCATCCACATTATATTTCTTGAGTGTGATACTGGAAAGAGATTGTCCTTGCTCTTAGCAGATGGATTAGGAGAGTGTTAAGGGTGAAATGTCAACTTCAACTCTCACACGGTTCAACTAGCTCCTGGTCTGGGTACCTGTGTCAAGGGCGATGCCTTTCGCTGACCCTGGAGCACTGGGGACGGAGTAAGCAGTGGTGGCCGAGGTGGATCTAGAGCCCTGGGAAGAGGTATAGAGCCAGGGCGCTCAGCCAACGGTCAGGGCCTTCTTCCCTGGCCACCCCTCCTAACTCTCCTTTGCGGAGGCCTCTTCCTCTGCTCGACCTTCACATACGGATGCCCCAGAGCCTGGTCCCGGGCTCCCTTCTCTTCTCCCCTGACAGCTCAGCCCCTCGGCTTCCAGTGCTATCTGGAAAAATCGACATCTCCTGAGTTCACACCTCCAGCCCAGCCTTGATTTCTCCCTTGAACTCTCTAGTTCATTGTACAACTGACCTCTTCCCTGAGGTGTACGCTAGCACTCATACTCAACACAGCTTCTTCATTTCACTCATTCGATAAGTATTTATTAAGCACCTACTGCATGCCAGGCCCCGTCCTAGTGGTGAAGAACCAGAATGAAGAAGACAGACAAGACCCACGCTATGGAGCTGGCATCCCAGTGGAGGGAAGCTGCTAGAAAACAAATGAAAAGCCAGATTAGAGAGTGGTAACTGATCTTTGGAGAATTAAGACAGGAGCCCTGGCCGGCTGGTTCAGTTGCTTGGAGCGTCGGCCCATAGATCAAAAGGTTGCGGTTTGATCCCTGGTCAGGGCACATCCCTAGGTTTCGGGTTCAATCCCAGTCAGGGCTATGGGAGGCAACCGATCAAAGTTTCTCTCTCACATTGATGTTGCTCTTACCCCCCCTCACCCCCCGCCTTCCTCTTTCTCTAAAAAGGTCAGTAAAAACACATCCTCAGGTGAGGATTGAGAAAAAAGACAGGAAACTGTGATAGCGAGTGGCCCTGTGGACAGGGTGGGCCTCAGTGGGCGTGGGGTGGGGGCATGCGACATGGTAGCTGCCATCTGAGTTTGGAAGCGGGAGCAGCCAGTGCAGAGAAAAATGTGGTCATGGGAACATGTGAAACAGGGGACAAGGGTGAGGAGGGGGTTGGTGTGGGGGCCGCCAGCAACCTGAACCTCCCTCCGAACCTGTTTCTCCTGCCGTCTGTCCCGTGTCACCACTAGTCCAATGGCTCAGGCCCCAAATCCCGATTCCTTCCTTTCTTCAACCTTTATATCCAATGATCCGCAGCGCTGGTCGGCACTGCCTTCACAGCACACCTCCAATCTGCCCCCTTCTTGTCACCTCTACCGTTACTCCCTGGCCAAGCCCCTGCTGCTGCTGGCTGGTATCATTGTCAGAGCCCCTCAAGCTCTCCTGTTTCTGCCTGGCCCCCTACAGTCCATCCCCGCCTCACCACACCCCCCACCCCCAGCAGCTAGAGCCATTTTTTTAAAACATTAATCAGACCCGGTCACCTCCCTGCCCCATCCCACTGCCCTGCCCCCTCAGGCCCTGGGAAGACCCGTGTGGTGAGAAGCAATAGCAGACGGAGACCAAACGCCTCCCTGGTGGAATGGTGTGATGGGCAGGTGGGATATTGTACTAAATAAGTACTTGCTTTCCTGCTCTTATAAGCTAGGGTGTGGGGTGGGTGGAGCCTCACTTTGTGACTTGCTTGATTAAAGGCAGTCACCAGTGTCCACCTGGTGGCAGGGTCCCAAATTGCAGGCAGGGGACGAAGGCCCAGGAGGAAGTAGCCAAATCCAAGATGCTAGAAACTCCTTGACATTCCTCTTGGGGCACCTCCCAGTTTGCAAAGCACACTCTCCCATTACCTTGAACCTGCCTCTTCTGTCTTTAGATACTGGTGGTGGGAGCCGAAGCGCCGGACAGCACTGGGCAAAGCTCCGGGGAGAAAGTGGGCACTTCTTGGAGCGGCACCGGTCAGCGCTATCCCAGGCTTCCTCTGCGACACCCCAGAGTGGACCTCGAAGTACCACCCCCCGGGCTTCCTCCATCCATCGCTCTGCCCAAAGGGATGTTGTCCAGACTGCTTCCGTACAACATGATACCCCTCACGCTTCCTCTCCCTCCCAGACAGCCCAACAGGACAATCCCAGAACCTCATCCACCCCACAGGACACCCCCAGGACCTCTTCCACACAGCGGAACGCCCCCAGAGCATCCTCTCCTTCAAGAACTGCCCAGCGGGATAACCCTAGAACCTCGTCCACCCAACGAAGCAGTCGAGTTTCCTCTTCCCCCAGAGCCACCCAACAGGACAACTCCAGAACCTCTCCTGCACAACAGGACAACCCTCAGACTTCTTTTCCTACATGTACTCCTCAACAGGAAAACTCTAGAATGTCCGGTACCCAAAGGGACAACCCCAGAGCCTCCTCTCCCAACCGAACCATCCAGCGGGAAAATTCTAGAACATCCTGTACCCAGCAGGACAACCCCAGAGCCTCCTCTCCCAACCGAACCATCCAGCGGGAAAATTCTAGAACGTCCTGTACCCAACGGGACAACCCCAGAGGCTCCTCTCCCAACCGAACCACCCAGCGGGAAAACTCTAGAACGTCCTGTACCCAACGGGACAACCCCAGAGGCTCCTCTCCCAACCGAACCACCCAGAGGGAAAACTCTAGAACGTCCTGTACCCAACGGGACAACCCCAGAGGCTCCTCTCCCAACCGAACCACCCAGAGGGAAAGCTCCAGGACGTCCGGTACCCAACGGGACAACCCCAGAGGATCCTCTCCCAACCGAACCATCCAGAGGGAAAACTCCAGAACGTCCTGTACCCAACGGGACAACCCCAGAGGTTCCTCTCCCAACCGAACCATCCAGAGGGAAAACTCCAGGACGTCCGGTACCCAACGGGACAACCCCAGAGGATCCTCTCCCAACCGAACCACCCAGAGGGAAAGCTCCAGGACGTCCGGTACCCAACGGGACAACCCCAGAGGATCCTCTCCCAACCGAACCATCCAGAGGGAAAACTCCAGGACGTCTGGTACCCAACGGGACAACCCCAGAGGATCCTCTCCCAACCGAACCACCCAGAGGGAAAGCTCCAGGACGTCCGGTACCCAACGGGACAACCCCAGAGGATCCTCTCCCAACCGAACCATCCAGAGGGAAAACTCCAGAGCTTCTTGTGTTCAGCAGAACACCCCCAGAACCTCTTCTACCCAGCGGGACAACCCACAACCCTCTTCCTTTCAGCGGGACAACCCCGCAGGCTCCTCCTCTCAGTGTTGCACCCAACAGAACAATCCTGGACCATCACCTTCTCATCGCTCCAGTCAGCGGAACAACCCCAGGAATTCTTCCCCACATCGTACTAACAAAGACATTCCCTGGGCCTCCTTTCCCCTCCGGCCGACCCAGACGGACGGCCCACGAACCTCTTCCCCATCTCGCTCCAAGCAAAGTGAGGTTCCCTGGGCATCCATTGCCCTTCGGCCAACCCAAGGTGACAGGCCTCAGACCTCATCTTCCTCTAGATCAGCTCAGCGCGCCCCCCGCCAGGCCCCCTCCGGCCCTGCCCAGCACAATCCACCATCCCGGGCCAGTTCCTCCTCCCACAACCCAGGCCACCGCAGTGCCCCCCGGACTTCCTCGCCTCTGTGCCTCACTACCCGTGGGGCATCCCAGACGTCTTTTGAGTCCTCCCAGCCTCTGTGTGCTGTGTGCATTGGACACCGGGATGCCCCCCGAGCCTCTTCGCCTCCTCGCTTTTTGCAGCACGACCCGTTCCCCTTCTTCCCAGACCCGCATGCCTCTGAGAGTGAATCAACCCGTCACGAGCCCCCTTATATACCCCCAGCAGTGTGCATTGGACACCGCGATGCCCCCCGGGCCTCCTCACCCCCTCGCCACACCCAGTTCGACCCCTTCCCCTTCCTTCCTGACACATCAGATGCTGACAACCAGTCCCCCCAGCATGACCCTCCTCAGTTCCCCCCACCTGTGTGTATTGGGTACCGAGATGCACCCCGGGCCTCCTCCCCACCGCGCCAGGCCCCGGAGCCCTCCCTCCTGTTCCAGGATTTCCCCAGGGCCAGCACCGAGAGCCTTGTCCCCTCCACAGACTCTCTGCACGAGCCCCCCCACATCCCCACCCCTGTGTGCATTGGACACCGAGATGCACCCTCCTTCTCGTCCCCACCACGCCAGGCCCCCGAGCCCTCCCTCTTCTTTCAGGACCCCCCCGGCACTAGTATGGAGAGCCTGGCCCCCTCCACCGACTCTCTGCATGGCTCCCCCATGCTGCCCCCCCAAGTTTGCATCGGGCACCGGGATGCACCGCGAGCCTCCTCCCCACCCCGCCACCCGCCCAGTGACCTAGCGCTCCTGGCACCCTCACCTCCGCCAGGCAGCTCAGGGGGCTCCCGGGGCTCAGTGCCCCCTGGGGAGACGAGGCACAACTTGGAGAGGGAGGAGTACACCATGCTGGCCGACCTGCCCCCGCCCAGGAGGCTGGCACAGAGGGAGCCAGGGCCCCAGGGCAGCAACGGGGGCCGAACCCGCAGCCCTGGCCGCGCAGAGGTGGAGCGCCTCTTCGGGCAAGAGCGCAGGTGAGCCCGGGGGGGTCAGCCAGGTGGGCTGGGGAGGAGGCTCGGCAGCAGGGCAGGTGGAAGCGTCAAAGGCTTAGGTTGCCGGATGGCAAAGCTTCAGACCCCCACCCTGTCACTTACTGGCTGTGCGACCTTGGGCAAGTCACTTCACCTCTCTTTCCCTGTGTTAAGAGTCTTTTTGACAATGAAGTGATATTGTGCATAGCCTCGTGGTTAAGAGCAAAGACCAGGGTCTGGCAGGCAGGGTGCAGATCCTGGGTCAAAGCCACTCCTCTGTGCTCTGGTAAAGTGATTTAACCTACCTGAGCCTCAATTTCCTCATCTGTAAAATTAGAACATTAGGACATGAATTAAAATGAGGTCAAACTGCCAGATCCTTAATTTGGTCCAGAGTAACAGGTTTGTTTTATTTATTTTTTCCCTCCTGATGTGAGGGAGAAGAAAGGGCCCGTGATTTTTTTCTTGCCTTAACAAAGAAACATCATGGGTACTGCTGCCTTTCAGAAAACAGAGATGTCCATTTAAAACCTATGGTCAGACCCATTATTTCAACTAAGAGAACTCAGAATCACAGACCTTACGCAGGTTAAAAGTTACTTTCTGGGGACATGGCGACAACGCCTTAAGTTCAGGGATCCTGCGAGTGTCCTTGGTTAGTGGCGCCAATCACACGGGCAGCTCGCGACCCAGCAGAGCACCTGGTTTCCCACATCTGAGGGCGGGAGACACTCCCCTGATCTGGCTGAGATTTCTTTCTCGAAACAGCAGTTCCAACCTCAGGAGTTTTCAGGATCAGGCCTGGAATTCCATCAGTTAGGGTCAGAGACCCTAACAAAAAAGTAGTTCCGGAAGTCTCGGAGCTTTCGGTGTACAATGCGTTATAGTGGATTTCCCAAGGCTGAGTTGTACAACCATCCCTGCAACCTAGTTTTAGAACATTTCCATCGCCCTGAAAAAGTGAGTAACATTTTGCACCCAGAATTCTTCTCTCTGTTGTCCTTTAGACAACATTTTCTCTTAGATTAGAAACTGCATGAGAAAACTTCTCTGTTGTTCTTCACATTTCCTTTCCAGCAAAGTCAATCCATTTACCACTCAGGTGACAACCTTTATGGGTTCCACCGTTAATAGAATTCTTTCTTTGGCCTTTTTTAAATTAAACACACGCACACGCACACACACACACACACACACACACACATATTTAGAGCAACTTTAGGTTCACAGCGAAATTGAGTGGAAAGTGAAGAGAATTCCCATACAATCTGCTTCCCCGCATGCATAGCCTCTGCTCACCGTCCGCACGCCCACCAGAGCGGTGCATTTGTTACAAACCATGAACCTATATTGACACACCATTTTCGCCCAAAGCCCATAGTTTACATTCGGGCTCCCTTTTGGCGTTGTCCATTCTTTGGGTTTGGATGAATATATAACGACGTATGTCCACTATTATGGTATCATACGTAAGAGTTTCACTGCCCTAAAAAACCCCCTTTGTCTGTCCCTTTTCGTGATTACTATTTTTAGTCAGACTTCAATTTGCCTACTTTGACTTGATCTGATAACTCAGCAGGGACACTAAGGCCTTTAAACCAATACTTCTTTCTTTCTTTTTCCTTTCTTTTTTTTTTCCGCACTGGAATAACTTTTAGAGAGATAAAGGTTTATACGAGAGGTCTGGAATTTGTTTATACTTTTATTAATCACTTAATTGTTTTTACACAGATACTTTTATTCATTTATCTCTTTAAAATAGATTATTTACCTTTTTTAGCTTCATTGAAGTATAATTGATATGTAAAAATTGCATATATTTAATGTATATATTTTGGTGAAATAGATGATTTACCTTACAACCAAGGTTTTATAACTCTACTGAGTAATTACATTTTCTCCTGTTGTATGGCAGTTTTTCCAAGTAGAAAACCATTTGTCCTCTGATAATGAAATTTTAAAACGTATTTAAGTGTCTGGAAGACTGAAATTTATAAGTGGGTGGCTATAGAGCTGTACTTTCATTTTTTCCCCATTTTATTTAATATGTATTTATTGAGCATCTACTCTGTCCAAGCATTATATTAACTGAGCCTGGAAACTTTTCCTCAAAGGGCTATCACATTAAAGGATTAGGAATTTTGGCTTGATATCTTCCTTTTTTTTTTTCTTCCCCCCTTTGGATGCCTTTGGAATCTCTTATAATCATATAAACACTTCATAGCCTCTTGAATTCAAAAGAACCTTCATGGAATTTGCTAGACTTGAAAGAAAGCTTTATCCTTTAATAATTGTGGACATGGAAGAGCCCACCCGAGCTTCCAAAGGAAATTCATTTCCTTTGTGCAGCCACAGAAGCCCTCAGGAACAGGTGGCCTGAGGCCGTTATTGCTTCAGCATCAGAAAGACTGGGTCTCTGTTGGCGTCTCAGATTTTACCTGAGTCCTTCGTTCCTATTTCTCAATTCCACGTGGAAGGGAAACTTCTCAGGAAGAACTGAGCGAGCTGTAGTTTCTGTGGAAGATGCACTCGCTTGAGAGAGAACACACATGCGCCTCGCTACCCCACACGGAGGCTCCCCCACCATTGTCACTGGGTCCTTCCCCCCTAGTAGGGCTTTTGCTTCACCGAGGCTGCTACACCCTTGTTCTGGGGCAAACGCCTTCTAAGGCCTCAGATCTCACAGAGCAAGAAAGCTCTCTCAGTTCAAATGAGGTTAAAAATTGAACCTGATTAGGCAGCCCTCAACCTTAGAAATATTTATCTGCTTCAGTGGGAAGCTTTGGTTCCTGTGAGTCAACTGCTAAGAACTGCTAAAAACTCCAGTCACTTTATGGATCTGGTTCTAATGGCGCTGGTAAAAGCCATAGACAACAACAGACCCCAAACCCATAATTTGCCCACTCTCCAAAGCCTCCGTAGCATTCCGGCACGGATCCCAGGCTGAGGGCTGACTGCCCAGCACAGCCCCCTCTCAGACCTGAAGGGAGGTTCCTCTTACTTCCCTCTTTGCTGGTTCCATCAAGGCTCAGCCCCAGGCCGCCCTTTCAGCCTCCTCTCCGTTTGGTTCAGCCACCAGAGGTACAGCTCCATGTGTGAGTTTAGACGGAGCTGACTCTCAGACCCTGTTGGACTACATGTGCAGCGCGGTGGTCAGGTCTGTTGACCTCTTACATATGTTTGGTGTTCTTACATGCAACAGAGATGTCATGTGAAATGTTAATAATGATGCCTACCCATGATTAAGTAAAACAACTAAGTAGAACTAGGGAGTTTTTACAGTTTAGAGGTTATCTTTGTCGGATGTGGCAACAATGCTTGAAATCCAGGTGTCTTAGAAATGCTATTTGCATGGACAGTTTACGTTGGTGTTGCTGGAGTTGGGTAGGAAGGGAGAACGTTTCTTCTTTCTGATCTTGCTAACAGCTTGTTAGCACAGCTGGCGTGGCCCATGGCTTTCAAGGCCAGGTGCAGGAGTCCTGATAGTTAGTACTAAGGGGGAAAAAGAGGGGCCTGGGAAGTCCAAAACTTACCGTATGGACAGAAAGACGGCAGAAAGAGTGGAATATGGGGGCACGTAACCTTCTGCATTTCCCACCTCCGCCTCATGGCCTGTGTGAGATGACATGAGATGGTGCGAGGGCTTGGCGCCCGGAACACAGGAAGTGCTCAATAAATGTTTGCCATCACGTTCATGTGTGCGCAGTGCCTGGTAACCAGTAGGTGCTCAATAAATCTGAATTCCCACAAAGACCAGTCTAACCTTTGTCTGGGGTTGAGAGGTGGGCCGCTGGCTGGGTGGCAGGCAGGAACAGGAAGTGCTGAGTAAGGCAGTCAAGGCCCAGGCTGAGCGCCCACCTTTGCTCAACCCGTCTCTCGTTTAATCCCCACGATTGCCCCATGAGGCAGGCAGAGTGGTGTTGACCATCGCCATTTTTCCAAAGGGGATACTGAGGCCCCGAGAGGCTCATCCCTCCCTTAGGGCCCTTCAGCTGTGGGTCTCTGGATCGCCCATATCTCCTCCCATGGAGGGTGGGAGCAGAGGAGGTGGGTGCTGGGAGTGGGACAGTCCCAAAGGCCCTCAGAGGGGCGGCTGCATTTGCTCATAGGAAGTCCGAGGCACCGGGGGCCTTCCAGGCCCGGGACGAGGGGCGGTCACAGCGGCCCGGCCAAGGTCAGAGCCAGCTTCTCCGAAGACAGTCCAGCTCTGCCCTCAGCAGGGAGGTGAGCACTGCCAGCCTGCCCTGGGCCCTGTACCCCAAGGGGCAAGCCACTGCTTTTCCCTCCCCCAGGCGCCAGGCAGGGGTCTTGGGAAGGGGGATCCTTTATGAAGGGGTCAGAGTCCCAATCATGGGTGTCCAGCTTTCCTCTCTCCCAAAGAGCCGGCAGCTCTTGGCAAAATTGAGAAGGACCCCACATTAGTCCTTTGAAGATGGCCCTTCTGTGCTGCCCCCTTCCTTCATTAGGTAGGTGCTGTCCTGAGTTTTCAGGGGAAGCCTTGGATGCAGCAGTCTGGCACTAAGGGCTATCTCTTCCAAGGTGGGGATTTCTATTTTTAAAGAAACTCTTAGAGGGCAAAGTCTGAGCCAGTGGAATAGAGTATTGGTAGTGGAAATTCGTGCACCTGATAGCCCAGGTTGGAATCAATATCTTGGGGGAGGGGGAAGCTGGGGAAGCCAGGAAAGTGAGCAGCTCTTCGCAGATCTCTTTCTGGAACTGAGGAGAGTGGGTGAGAGGGAAGAGCAGACAGCCCCAGGGAGGGAATGCAGAGATTCTAGGTCCTTTTTGACCTACTTTAATCCAGGCCGCTGTGAGGACGCAGCTTGCCTCTGCCTGGGGCCTGACCAAGACCCCAGCGCCCTGTGCTCCTCAACAGAGTCCGCCCAGTCACTGTTCTAGAGCCTCACCCACCCCCTCGCCTCATCCTCAGGTAACCACACCCCACGCGAAGCAGGCAGAACCAGCCCGGAGGAGCCGAGCAGAGCCCCCTCCTCCCAGGAGCCCCCAAAGGCGACCTGAGGGGGACCGGCGGCTCCAGGGGTCCTCGCCGCCCACAAGGACATCAGCCAGGACCTCTGAGAGGCAGCCGCGAACAGAGAAACCTCCGGAGAGTGGCCGGGCAGGCCCGAGACAGACTCTGGGTGGGTGGCAGAGTCAGGAGGAGATGCCAGGGTCCCGGGGCCCCCACAGACACCCGGACAGAGGCTGGAGCAGCCAGGAGGAGGGCCCAGGCCTGGGGGGCTGGCAGGGACTCGGGGAGCCCAGCCGGGGGGCTGCCAGAGCTCCGGAGGGAACGTGGAGGGACCCACTCAGGGAGTCTGAGGAGAGCTGGGGGCAGCCGGGTGGCCCCCCGTGCCACAGGGCGCAGCCAGAGGCCTGGGAGGAGCCTCCCCGTGACGGGTTGCGGAAGGCCCCTGACAGGCCAGCTCAGAGGGGCTGGGGCAGCCTGCAGCAGCTGTTCAGTCCTCCTCACCAGCCTGCAAGCCTCCCAGAGAAGTCCAGGGAGGGCCCAGCAGAGCTCTCGAATTCCTGGAGGCCTGAGCCAGCCACTGCCGTGGGCTGGGGAACTGAGGGAGCTTGCGCGCACCTGCACGGCCCAGAGAGGCGGCTGGAGCTTGACTGGAGGGACCTGGTGAGCCTTCTTGGGGTACCCAGAGAGGGGACATGGGCCCACACAGAGGAGCCAGCGCTTGCCTCCCGTCTTCCGAGGCTGGATTTGGAAGGCCTTCTGGAGCTCCTGCAGGCCCAGCTGCCCCGAAGGGACCCAGCTGGACACTGGGGTGGCCCAGCCACTACTTCTGGGCCAGAGCTGGGTTCCCCAGGCACAAAGGATGCCCTTGAGCGAGAGAGACACAGCCAACCTGAAGGCGGGGCAGAGGCCACCCTAGTCAATGGACACAGCCCTGGGCAATGGTCCCAGAGCTTGGCCCAGCCACCCTGCCCTGCCTGCATCTCCACCCAGTGGCCAAAGACCAAAGTGACAAGCGGAGCAGAGACCTCAACTATGGCTGGTCTGGAGGAGCCGGGCCAGCTGGGGAGTAGGAGCCCTGCAGAGGGCCCCAGCTCACCGGAGTGGGAGGTAAGTCAGTCCCCCTTCTGAGGGACAGCCTCACCCCAGACAAGGGTCCTTGGAAAGGCCTCCTTTGGGCTCCTGGCCAAAACCTCCCGACCCACCAAAACAGACATCAGCGATAATGACCAGCACTTCTGGGAGAATTTACTGTGTCTTACAAGCATTTTCCTCATTTAATTTCCATAGCAACCTCATGAGAAAAGCACTGTGAATTTACAAATAAGGAAACTGAGACAGGGAGGCTAAGCCACTTGCCCAAGATTACATAGCTAGTAAGGGATGGGGCGGGGGGACCCCAGGTCTGCTCAGTGCAGACCACCCGGAGGCCTCGAGCAACATCCCGTGGCCAGGGCCTCCTCCCCTCCCAGCCCCACGACACCCGGTTTGTGTGGCCTTTGTGGCTCCTGCCTGACCTTGTCTGGGACTGCAGCCCGTGTGGCCATGTCTCCTCCCCAAGCGGGATCCCAGGGTCCTCGCAGTCCAGGACAGCCCCACTTCCCCTCTCTGGTCCTTACAGTCCCTTTCAGGCACAGTGACGAGGTCGCGTACACTCATTGCATTGAGTTGGCTGCTGAGACAGGCCGCTTAAATGAGGACCCATGTGCAAAGTAGCTCAATGCCTGGCACACAGCAGGTGCTCACCAAGCCCCTCCCCTGCCCTCTTGGCCCCGAGAGTGAGGTCCCCTGGTGCTGTCTGGGGCATTTTATCTGAAGATGATGAGTGGGGAGGGTCCTGGAGGCCAGAGCCCTGCAGCTGCCTCAGCTCCTGGAAACGTGCACATGGTTTTGGACACCTAGCATCTCTCGTCCTCAGTCTTCCCCTGGAGAATAGGACCGGCTCCTTTCCTGACAGGTTCACTGGGGTGATGCAAGGCTCCTGCTCCTTCATCTGACCCTGAGGGTCTGTGTGTGCCAGGCCCTGGTCTGGGAGCTTTATGTGCTGTGCCATGTACGAGGCTCAGACCATTAGACATTTGCCAGGGGTCACACCTGTGTAAGTCGTGAGAGAAGAGCTCACAGTGTAGGCTCCAAAGCCCAGGGTTTTAACCACCCTGTTGTGAGGCCTCAGAGCCTGTGGCAGGACTGGGGAGCTCCCCACCCCTGTATTTGTTTATCCATTTTTCTTCTACAACTCAATGCACAAATACCAGTGATGCAGGGAGAGGCCCGCTTGGTTCTTCCCTCAGGACAAAAGTGGGATTTGGGGGTCCCCACACAAGAAGTCAGGCTTGTTGAGGAGGCAGGTAGACCAGAGGCAGCTTGGAAGGGTGTGATGCTGTGTCCCTGTGGACTCTGGGGTGCTGGGTCACAGGGAAGACGGAGAGTGGAGAGAGTCATCGGCTAGAGTTCCTCCACAGTGAGGCTCAGGGGTCCCTGGGAGGTTAGGAGATGCTGACTGCAGAGGGCTGGGAGCAGCACGTACTTAAGGGCATTTCCACGGATGACAACAGAGACATTCACCAGGCCCCGTTGTGGCTCCGGCTGCTCACCCTCTGTGTCAATCCTTGGCATGGCATTCAAGGCCTCCTGGCCTTCCTTCCACCCCAGATTGCCCTGTAGTCGTGCTGAGCTGGCTGCAGAGCTCTGTGAGCATGGCTCCCTGCCTTTGTGCATGCTGTTCCCATTTCCCAGGATGCTTTTCCTTTCCCTCTTCACTCACTAAATGTCTGTTCCTTGTTCAAGTCTTAGATCGGGTGCCCTGTTCTGACGCTTTCCCAGGTTGGTGATGTCTCCCTTCTGGGTTTGGTGGTTCTGTTACCCTCTGTCTGGTCTGACTTAGTTGTCATTTCCCCATGAGAAACATGAGCTCTACAGGGGCAGGAGCCATGCCTACTTTATCTCTGTGCTTATGGCCCGTGACCCAGAGCTGGCCCTGTGGAGGAGCTCAGCTCAGTGGATGGTTGATTAATGAATACAAGGGGGCTTAAGTGTGTGTAAGAAACTGATAAGAGATGGGTGGGTCAATGGGTAGATGATGGATAAATCACTGATGATGGATGTGTGAAGGGGTGATGGATAGGGGATATATGATGGAAAAATAATAAATAGATGTTGGATGGATGATAGATAGACATATGGATGATGAATGAAACAGATTATGGAAGCTGGGTAGATGGATGTTGCTTAGATAATGGATGGGTTGATGAATGGATGAGCGGCTGAATGTTAGGTAGAATATGGGTGGGTGGATGGATGGATGGATGGATGGATGTTGCATGGACAGGTAAATAGTGGAATATGGATTACGGATGGTGAAGGAATGGTGGAAGGACACGGATGAATGGATGTTGGATGGATTGAGGAAGGATACATGGATGTAGGATGGATGGGTGGATGATGAATAAAGATGGATGTATAAATGGGACAATGGATGTTGGATAGGTGAGTGAGTGGATAAGGTAAAATGGATGTTGGATGGTTGCATGGATACATGGTTCTACTGATGCTGGATCCAGATGGATAATGGATGGATGATGAATGGATGGATAAGAAGGTCGCTAGATGGATGGAAACTGGGGAATAACCTGGACTAAGCTGTGTCCTTTCTTATCTCCAGTTCCAATCAGAGGAGCCTGAAGAGTCAAGAGGAGGCCAAGACTCATTGAATGACCAGAAGCGGGCAGACTCGGTAGCTGGGTCTTGGGTGTGGGCACATGGGGAGAGGAGGGGAAGGGATGGGAAACCAGACTAGAGGTGGGCTGAGGTCTTCAGATGAGGTCATCCAGACCAAGGTGGGCTCTGCAACAGGGTCATCCATGTGCATGGCGGGGCCTTGAGAAGAGGGGCTCAGGTGGAGCTGGGATAGCAGAGCCACCTTCTGGCTTGGGGACATGGGTGGCTGGACAATCCCAAGGTCAGAGCCCAGGGCTCTGCTTTTAACATGCCTGAACGCCTGGAACAGTAAGCTAGAATGCCCCCCTTGGGCAAATAGCAGTTTGGCTCCAATGGTCTCCAAAGGCAAGGGCCTTCTGGTTCTGGAGAGCTGGCGAGGCTGGGAGAAAAGGTAGAGCTTCCAGGAACTGGGGCCAGAGAAGCATTGACAGGGGCCAAGGAAGTGCCACAGTCAGCGGGGTGTGGAGGTCTCCCTGGGGCAGGAGAGATAATGTGCAGGGGGTGGGACCCACTGAGGCCGCTCTGAGGCCTGGCTGCAGCTGGAATGAACAGCTTTGTCCTGCCCCTCCCCCTGACCCTCCAAACAGACTGTTCTCCTCACCCTCAGCCTCCAGAGAGGTGAGGTCAGAGCTCGGGGCCTGGGGCGGGAGGCGGTAGGCGGGGAGAAGGAAACAGGCTGCTTGGGGCTATGCTTCCCTCATCCTGCTCTTCTGCCGTCTCCGGTGCAGCCTCCTGAGAAGCCTGATGGGGTGTCTGTCTGGCAGCCTGGAGCCCCGACTCTGGCTCTGCTGCTAGTCAGAACTGGGAGATTCTGATGAACCCCCCTCACTGTTCATATGAGAAAACAAGGGACAGGTGTATTTTCCCATGTCACACAGTTGGTGGCTGAACTCAAACTAGCACTGGGGCTTGGGACGCCCCCTCCCCGCACTCTCTCTGCACCAACCCCCTTGCACCGCCCCTGCCCCGCCCCGCGCCCCGGCACTGCTGCCTGGCCCTGCCCTGATTCCTTGCAGTGACCTTGAGAAACAGTAGCATCAGTGTTCCAAACTCTCGGTGGGTCGGTCTTCCCACTGGTGAAATGGAAGGGGACAGGAGACTGGTCACTGAAGGTACTTCCAGCTCTCACAGGGGCAACTTTGTGCTTCCTCTTTTGGGTTATTTCTTCATATTTCCTGGGGTCAGAGTTTTGTGAACAAAGAGGAAATAGCAATACAGGGGTCCCCTCTGGTCTCCACGAAATGGGCCCATCCCAGCACCGTGGAAAACCTCGCAGCCCTCCCCCAGGCAGCCTGGACTGGATAGAATTGATAACGGCCTCAGTCATTCATTCACCTACACTTAGTGAGCGCCTTCTGCATGCCTGGGTGTGGGTAGAGGTGGGTCAGAGCAATGGCATGGAGATCACAGGCTAGCGGTCATGGCTGTGATGGGGGACTTGGCGGCCGGGTGGGGCAGTCCTGCCCTAAAGTGCTCCTGGACCTGTGCTTTGATGCTTCCCGTTCTGCCTCAAGGGAATCCCTGGATTCGGAGGGCTGGGGTGCCTGGGCTCTGTCTCACTCCTGCCTGCTCTGTGACTTTGGGCAAATGTCTCTGCTTCGCTGGGGCCTGTTTCCTCCCAAGGGGACACATTTCAGGGCTCTGCTAAGAATGGGAGCACAGGTGGCTGTAGGAGTCTGTGATTCCTTCCTTTCACAAAGGTGAAGAGAGTAGGCAGATAAGGGATTGGGATGGGGGTGGGGGGTTTGTGTGACCCTTTGGCTCCAGGTGGCTGTTGCCATGGGGAAGAGGGTACAACATCTTTAGCTGTTTCAACAGACTTTAGAAAGAGGTAGTTATAGGTTAAATCTCTTTATTTTTTAACATTGGGACCTAATGCGAAATAGCCTGAACACACTGTGCGGGCTGAGCATGTATCTGAGGCCTTCACCCCCCTCCTGCTGGCTGCCTGGGGCTCGACTTCAGGGTGGTGAAGTGTGCGCCCCCACGGGTGCTGAGCCCCGGGGGTCCTGTCAAGCAAGCACCATGTCTTGTGAACAAGGGAACAAGCTCTGTTCTCGGCAGTTCTGGGAGAAGAGAAAAAGGGGACCCTGGGCCTTTGAGGTGGGCATGGCAGAATGGGCCGGGGAGGCTTAGTCATCCCCATCCCACCAAAGGGACCTGGGGCCAACACAGGACCCTGTTTGACAGGCAGACAAGAGGCCAGCGGAGGGCAAGGCTGGGAGCCCACTCAAGGGCCGACTGGTGACCTCATGGCGGATGCCCGGGGACCGTCCCACGCTGTTCAATCCGTTCCTGCTGTCCCTGGGGGTCCTCAGTTGGCGAAGGGTAGGCTGGCTCCAGTGGGGTGGGAGGGGCGAGGGTGGGGAGAGGGGGAGGAGAGGGAGGAGGTTGGTGTTAGTCAAGAAGAGAGAGTAGGGGCTGAGAGGGAGGGAACGGGGCCCCCACACGAGAAAGGAGATAGAAGCGGAGGCCTGGGCTCCCCGTGGTATCTGCAGGTGAGCAGCATGGCCGGCTTCCCAGGTGAGGGGTGACGGAGCAGTCTTCACAGCCAAGAGCTCCCAGTCGGCAACGAGGCTGGGGAGAGCCAGGTTGGGGGCGGGGCTAGGAGAGGAAGGAGGGCCCTGTGAGGGGCTCTGGGATTGCAAAGTGTGGCTCAGCCCTGGGCCTGAGCCGGTTTCACAAACATCTGGCATTACGTAAGCCGTCCCCTGCCCAGAGAGGGCTGTAAACACTCAGGCCTCTGGTCCGGGGTTTCCTCAAGGGCGGGGAGGGGAGGCAGCTGTGGCTTGCTTCCCCCTGCCCCCTTCACCACCAGAGAGAAGGGGGCTGGCTCACAGGGTCTCTTCTCTCGGTGACAGGCTGACTCTCATCCTCTTGCTGGCTCTGGGTCCAGCACTAGTGTGGAGACAGTATGGCCATTTTACAAATGAAGGGACCGAGGCTCGGGGAGGTGTGTTGACTTGCCTGAGGTCAGAAAGCTAGGGTTTAGAGGAGCCAGCCTCTTGGTAATATTCCTCATTCCTAGATGAGAGCGTGGCTGCAGCCAAACACACTGAGCCTCAGTTTCCACAGCTGTCTAATGGAGTAAAATCCGTGGAGAAACTCAGGGCCGCAGGGAGGACTCACAGAGATCAGGATGCACAGAGGTGTGATAGGGGCAGGCGTGTCCAAATACTAACTTTCCCATCCACGTCCTAATTTCCTCTTTGCTGCCTTTTGAGAATCAAGGCAAGAAGGTGTTGAGAAAAACATAGTTATCCGGGCAGGGAGGTGCCTTCAAGCCATGGGCAGGAAGTGCCTTATCGGACTACCTTACCAACATGAAGCAGGTCTGGCAGGGAGGGGCAGGTTAAGTCCCCAGTGGAGAGAAATGGGAAAAGGACACTGGGATAATGATGATGCTGATGATAACTAGCACGTATCCATATTTTGCCATGTATAATGCACACCCACAGTTTTAGTACTAATTCCCAAGTGCAATGTGCATCCTTATTTTTCCCTCAAAAATTTGGGCAAAAAGTGTGCATTATACATGGCAAAGTACAGTATTGTGAGCCTACTATGTGCTCAGCTTTGTTCAGTGCATGGCAGGCCTCGTTGCTTTAATCCTTACACTGGGCATATCAGGTATGGGTCATATTGTCCATGTTACAGAAGAGGAAAGGAAACTCAGAGACAAAAAAATCACTGCTCTCGATCACACAAGTGCTAGAGTGGAGATTTAAACCCTGCTCTGGCTGACCTCATGTCCTGCCCCCCACCTCTGTGTGTCTGGGTCTCCCTGAGCCTGCCCTGTAGGCCTGAGAATCTCCACAGATTTTCTCCATGAGACAGATGTGGCAACTGAGGCCTGGTGAGTTTGCAGCAGTTCTTTCATCCGGGAATGAGGAGAATCAGGAGCTGAGGGATAGAACTGCCAGTGGGCAGAACAGGCAGTTACTTAAAGCAGGTTCAAACTTCTCTGGACTGGATAGTGAAGTCAGTCCAAGGTCAAGAGCCAGGAAGCCTGCTTTGGGTCCTGTCTCTGCATTGACTTGTGTGGCATTGGGCCATTTTCTCCCCTCTCTGAGCCTCCAATTGTTATCCTTCGTAGAGAAACAGTTTAAGATTGAATAACCCCCAAATTTGGTGGCCCTGTTTAATAACTTGCTCCTGGATCCCTGAGCCTGTGCCATCTCTGTCCTACCAGGGCAAGTTGTGGTAAGGTTGTCATTCCTTCATTTGTACATTCATTCATTTGACCAGTGTTTGCTAAGGACCTACTATGGGCTGAGGTTCTGAGATAGAGACAAAAGATCCCCATCCCTGCCTACAAGGAGCTCGTAGTCTGGTGAGAACACTGATGTGCGCTGGTCAGAACACAGTATAGCTCTCACATTAGTGGGGGATGTACAGATGCAGGGAGCACTGGGCGGGAAGTTGATACAAGGAGCATTAGACAAGGAGATTGTAACTCTGTGCTGGGGGTACTTTGGTTTCCTTTGGACTGAGACTTGAAGATCAAGGAGGAATTTTCCAGGCAAACATTTAAGGGAGGGGAGGGAGAAAAAGGGAGCGCACGCGTGCATGCGTGCGTGCATGCGTGCGTGTGTGTGTGTGTGTGTGTGTGTGTGTGGGGGCGGGGGGGGGGGCCCAGAGGGCAGGAAAGGAAGTGCTCCAGACACAGCAGAGAACAACATGTGCAATCCCATCCAAGGTACAGAGGACCTGGCTCATTCTGGGAACTCCCGGTGGTCCGGCGCTGTGTACCAGCATGTAAAATGTGTGTGTGGAATGACGGAGGACAGCAGGCAGGGGCCAGATTATGATGGACCCAGACTGCTTGGAGCAAGCATGCAGAGTTGATCTAGTAGCACAGGGAAGTGTGGAAGAACTTTGAGCAGGGGAATGGTCTGATCACTGGGCTGGGGGTTCCAGAAGTGGAGTCCCAGGTGCCAGGAAACCTGTAAGGAAGCTGTCAGATGCCCAGGCCACTGGGCAAGGCACTGGTGGTAGGTGATGTCTTCTGTTTGTTCAAAAACAAACACTGTGCCAGAAGGCCAGTGTCTAGGGGAAGATGGGCTTACCGTTGGTCTCACTTCTCAGGGTGGAGGAGAGACTCCTAGTGGGAGATACTGGGAAAGAAGTTCAGCTCCCTGGGCCTCCATTTCTGTACCTGTGAAGTGGCGACAGTGATTATAATTAAGATGGCAATCACTTTTGACCCCCCCAAACGGAGATGGGAGAATAACTGAAATGGCGATTAGTCCCAGCTCCCCTGCCTTTCTACCAAAGGATAGCTAACTAGAGATAAACAGAATGTTCTGGGTATTTTACTTAAATTAACCCTTAATTCTTCTTTTTTTTTTTTTTTTTAAGCAGAGGAATCACACTACGCAACTTTACTTTTATTTAATTATTTTATTAATTCTCACCTGAGGATATGTTTACTGATTTTAGAGAGAGAAAAAGGGAGGGTGGGGAGGAGAGACAACACGACAATTTTTCCTTATACCAACCCCATGAGACAATAGCATTATCCTATTTTTAACAGAGGGTGAAGTGGAGGCAGAGAGGTTACCGGTAAGTACCTTGCTTAAGATAACAGGGTTTGAATCACAATGCGACTAAATGCAAGCTACTACATGCATTTAGCAACAAATTCCACCCAAGGTCCTCCTCTACTTCAGGGCTCAGATGACCTCCTGAGGCAAAAAGGCCTCTTAAAAACTGCCAAATGCTCTGGGAACGTTAGTACCGGGTACACACCCTCACACAAGAACCCAAAATGAGGTTCTTAAGCCTATAAAGACCGGCTTCCAGGAGGGGGCATTTACGGGAGGCCCACTTTGGACGAAGACTACATTCTAGGAGTGCCAATTCTTCTTACTGTGTGACCTTAAGCAAGTCGGCTCACCTCTCTGAGCCTGTTTTCTCATTTGTAAAATGGGGACAAGGACATTTTTCTGTCAAGTCTGTATTGAGGACGAAAGTCGACCTCACAGGTAACAAGCAGGGCTCCGGGAGTGGGACCCGCTTAATTGTTAGTATTGGGTGCTTTGCTCACGTCCCCGTCAAACCCCGGCGTCTGGAGGCTCGCGCTTGGCGCGGGAAGCCGTAGCCGAGGTGACGTGAGGGGTACACTCTGCACTGCAGCCCGGTGGCCGAACGGAGTCACCTGAACGCGTGACCGTTCCTTCCACCCAGTGCAGCCACCGCCGAGGTGCAGCCCGCCCTCCCTCCTCCCTTCTCCCCGCCCCCATCCGCTCGTCCGTCCGTACCGCCCTGCCAGCCCGGGACCAGACCGCCCTCGCGCGCGTCTTC